TAATGAAAGATGCTGAGAATTGTAGTTATACAGCATAAGGGAGCTGTAATTTCTTCATATTGTAATCCCACAACATATTAATCCATGACATAATTAACTATTAACCATGGTTTATTGAATAAGCAAAGACCTTACTAAATCATAAACTGCCACTCACATATTGGATGGATTTACACAACATGCTAAACAAAATGTACTTTGATGTTTATAGGATTTAATGAAGCTCTGTAATTAGTTGATAAAGTGAAATTTGACTACCTGATTAATATATCATATTACTGCTATTTCTTCACCATGGACATTGTGTCATAGATATTTAAAATATTGTTTTTAGAAGAAAGTATCAGGCCTATTGTCTATCAGATCTGTTGGACTATAACTCCCATCATCCTTGATAATAGGTATCTAATATATCTGGAGGACAACAGATTGGGCAAACATGCCTTAGATATTATTCTCATTGGATTGATAATTATCTTTCTCAAACATTTTGGTTGGGTCAAAATATATATAAGATTATGTTGTGAAGAGAGGCATATGGAAATCCCTTCTCATTTGTGCATGATTTGTAGTTATATTAAAATATGAATGCTTATTTGTACATATTTTTGTCCATGTGCACAAAATTTGAAGTAGGGATAGACAACATGAATATGAGAAAGCACACATATTAATTTGCTTTCCATTTCTAAACCACATGATTTTTCTTCTCTTCCTTCTCTTAGCTTTATGTGGAAGGAGAATAATGCACACGTGGGGAATGGGAGGTAAAAGTAGAAATGATATATGTCACAATTATTGGGAAGTATGATATCTTTGAACATAGGATGAGATCAAGCATAACTGTTTGCATAGCTTTTTCTGATTTTTCTTATGCCAGCATAAATCCCCATGTGACTTTAGAGCATGTTCACAAATCATCAGTTGTTAAGAAACAGGTATCTATTGTCCAAATAAGGAATTTACTATAAATTATACATTTTTACTATATGAATAAAAGCCTTGGTCCAGTGCTCCAATTATACAAAAAGGCAGTTCCTGAAGTTCCCTGTCAGATCAAGATTATGAAGTTGCTTGTTTGTGGAAGGATTGTCTAAGGAAAGAGATGGAAACATTTAATTACAATATATTCCAGTTCCAAATGACAGTATGAGCATGAATGGGTGCAGTTCTGAATTTTAGATGAAGGGCCTCAGTTTCTGTTAAAGACTCTTCAAAAACTAGTGATATAATATAAAATACATAGAAAAAGTGATAGAAATGGCAACCAAATCAGCATATTTCACTCTCCGAAAAGCTTCAAAAACTGTACAAGGAGTGCAGTACTGTATAAGAAGTAATGCCTATCAATTCTGCAACTAATAAAAGAAAAACTGAAGACTCTTCTGGTATTTTAAACTTCTGACTTAGTCTAATATCATCAGTGAAAATAGTCTTGAGAGACAGGAGGAAGAATTGCAACCCATATAACACTTTGATAAATGAAATCTAAGCCCAGACCAGAAATGTAATTTGAGAAAATATCTCAGAATTGACCCTCTTTAATTTTCTGGAATGTAAAGGCAGAGGAAGGGGAGAAGCATTTGCAAACTTGCGAGATTCTATTACTGCAACCTTACAATAAAGTAATATTTGTATTCATGATTTTGGTTTTCTGGGCTGGACTATCAGGAAGGGTTGACAACAAGGGTTGTTCCAGTTGATAATCCCCATCTCTGGACTCTCAGAGTAACAGGGCAGAGATCCACAGTTCACAAGCAGGAGTTTCATATTGTTCAAAATCCTATCCACTTCCTTGAAATCTAGAGGACAGAATTAATCCCAAATAATATTTTAAGTCTTCATTTATTCTGGCCTTGCAGAGTCAATATTTGAGTGAATGTGTTTGATTTTACTGATGAAATGCTAGTCACAATTCTTATACCGGTCGTCCTCAGCTTACAACAGTTTGTTTAGTGACCATTTAAAGTTACAATGGTACTTTAAAAAGTGACTTATGACCGTTTTTCAAACTTACGACCATTGCAGCATCTCCATGGTTACGTGACCAAAATTCAGACATTTGGCAACTGGCATGTATTTATGTCGGTTGCAGTGTCCCAGGGTCATGTGATCCCCTTTTGTGATCTTCTGATAAGCAAAATCATTGGGGGAGCCAGATTCACTTAGCAACCATGTTACTAATGTAACAACTGCAGTGATTCACTTAACAACTGTGGCAAGAAAAATAATAAAATGGGGCAACATTAATTTAACAACTGTCTTGCTTAGTAACAGAAATTTTGGGCTCAATTGTGGTCATAAGTCGAGGACTACTTATAGCAGCATGCTGGCAAAACTTGCCATTTCTCACCCCATAGAAAGAAGAAAATGATCCTAAACAAAGATGCTGCTCTGTTTGTTGACGCAATAAGACTGAAGAAGGAAGATTGTTTAAGGGCTCAAATGTAAACTCTTACCTCTGATCAAATTTGTTTCTAGTCTACTGATGCTGGTAAAACAAGAGGCATCCCTGCACCAGCAAACAGGGAGGTTCTGCTTGTGAAATGCTATGATCATCTCTGTTTTTCAGACCTGAATTAGGCACTCTTTAAGACTGGTTTTCAGATTGCTGGTAAAACCTCCAAATGTTGGAATCCATTTAACCCATAACGGATTTTGCCAGACCAATTTAAAGCAGGGCTCCCAACCTTTTTGATTCCATGAACCAGTGGCGGTGGCGGCACTGGTGGCAGCTTCGGTGGGAGCGGGGAGAGAATGATTTTGTGCATGAACCTAAATCCCACGCATGCGCAAATGAAGCTTAGTGCACTTGCCCACTGCTTTGGTGGCCCAGTTCCCAACGGGCTGCAGCCTGGTAGTGGTCCGTGGCCTGGGGGTTGGAGACCTCTGATTTAAAGGATCTACCTGCCTTGTGGGGTTTGAAGTAGCAACAAACCCAGGAATTATTTGATCATGACAAAGGATTAACAATGCTGTCCTCCATTTCCAGATAATCATATAATTGCTTTGAGATGAAAACTAAATTTAATACAATATATCACCATTCATGTATGCTGGCTAGAAAGCCCATGGTTACCATGAAGGTCATGAAGTCCTGAATTCTACAGTACTTGAACTCCATTTAAGGGACTAAATATTGAAATCCCTCACCACTATATAGCATGGAGACTCTTGATACCTGCCTGCAGATAAAGTTCACTGGCTGGAAAGGTATCAGTTGTATAGCAATATGACTGGACAAGTAGAATATCCAGACTGTCCTTAAAGCCCAATGTCACAAATAGGCACTCACAGCCAACACCTTATGAACAAAGCCCCTGCTTGTTACCAGATTTTGTTTTAAGGATCAGCCTCTCTTTCTTCCTTCTCCCCTCCAACATCTTGGCGTAGGTAGGAACCAAGACTAAGGAAAACAGATCTCAAAGAGGATGACACTGCCTCTCTGGTAATATATGTTGTCTATGGATATACATAGCCTTATTATATATTAATCTGGTATTCAACAGGAGGTCAAAACGTCCAATAATCTGGTCTTCTAGTTTGTGGAATTAGGTTATTGGACTAGAAGTGAAGATCAGCTCCAAAATCCAGATTTTCTTTCCCTTGCAATAACCTGCTTAAATCCAACAGAATGATATTCAACAGTGGCATATGCATGGTCTTGTGTCCACATAGTAAAAATCAAATACATAAGATGAATAGGTCTTATGGAATAGTTGAATATGAACAAGTAGTTTGATACAGCTGTTAAAAAGGCCAATGTAATTTTGAATTGTTTTAATGTAAGTGTTACAAGTAATAATTTTGTAGTAATTACACTTCACTTGGAGTACTGTGTTTCTTTTGAGCTGTGCACATTCAAAGGGACATGGAAATGCCAGAGCAGTTCAGAAAAAAAGCTAATGGGATGATAAGAGGTTTGGAAACTAAGCCCTATAAAGAAAGGAGCTGGGCATGTTTAGTTTCTCAAAGAGAAGTCTGAGAAGAGGTGTGACAGTTGTCTATAAGTATTTAAAAGTCTCTCATGTGCCAGAAAAGACAGACCTGTTGTTTGATGAAATTAAGGACAGAACAAAGATCAACAAATTAAAATAAATAGAAGAGATTATTAGGAGGAATTTCTTGACAATAAGTTGTTAAGAAGTAGAATGGTTTGTGTACTGCAATAGTGAATTTCTGGGGACTAAATGATTACCTGAGAGAGCTGGCTTATCAGATTTCTGAACAAAGTGTTGGACAAGATCACCCTTCCAGTTCTTACTTTCTATGATTTTATGATTCAACAGAATTTACCAATATATTGTAATGCAATATTTTAACAATGAGATTTCATTAAAATGGATGAAGTATTAACAGTACAGCAAATTTAAATATTCTTTCACTGCCTTCTAAACCATTTTTAAAAAAGTATATTGATTATATTTATATCCCATTCTTCATCCAAAAGTGAAAAATTGTGTATCCAACACTTCCTTCCTCCAGGTTTCTCTCACAATCCTGAGGGATAGTTTGGACTGAGAGATGGTAACTAGCCCCAAATCAGCTACTGAGCTTGCATGATTTAGAATAAAATTGAACTTGCCCTCCCAGTCCCAATCCAAGATCTTTATGTAAGTCTTTACATCAAATCTTAATCTAGAAGTTCATGTTTTGAATGTTTTAAAATCCTATTTTGTGGCTTATGTTTCTTGCTTTTATCACTGGTACGTTTAACAGGACAGATGTACTCTGTGGAACAGATCATATTAAAAGTTGTTTTAGGAAAAACTTTTCATAACAAAAAAGGCAGGAGTGGCAAGTGGCCATGTTGTCTTTCAGGGAAATAAGTCTAAATAGATATACAAGAGTACTTGGGAAGAAACTCAGATGTCCAAGGTACTATAAGAATAAATTATCCACAGTAATAATATTATCTGGTTTTAAAGTAAATTTTGGCTACTTTGGTAAGTTTGGAAGTTGACTATGTGACATGTTTCCTTTTTTTACTTGTGCTGCAGACATTATTCGCAGTGATATTGCATTGGATAAACAAAAAGGCTGTAAGATTGCCCAGCATCCTGACATCATGTTGGAATTACAAAGAGAAAAGGCAGCTCAGATGCACCTGGTTCTTCTCAAGGAACAATTCTCTAACACCTACACAAATCTCACACTTACAGGTAAGGCTGCAAGCTAAGGATCATTATTCCATAGAAATTGTAGTAGAATATAACTGCTCATGTTTCATGACAAAAAGAAAAATAAAACTCTTAATGAAAGCCTACTGATGACAGACTAGCAGGGAATACCAGAGAACTAGGCTAGACTGGAGAGCTGAAAAATGCCCCAGAAGAAGGCAGTGGCAAACCATTTCTGTTCTGTTGCCAAAAAACCTGAGTGGATCTATCCATAAAGTTAGCAGTAGTTAAGCTTGACTTGAAAGAGAATTTATTTATAGCTCTGGGGCCATGGGAAGATTCTGTACAGATAGCACAAAGCCAACTGGAATGTTGTACACATTAAAATATGGTCATGAGTTTGCCTCCTTACTTTGCTGGCAACTTGAATATTTATAACAGTAAGAGAATATAGCCAATATTATAGAAAATTCATATTAGAAAAGGACATATAATTGAAGGGTGCACAAAGGGCAAATTCTCCTATCTGGGGTAATTCATACAATAGTCATAATAGGCTTGGATGCCTAACAATTTCTCCTGGGATTGTATCAGGAAGACTTGAACTTTGGCTCTCACTTGGGTTCCCTTAGTGGAGCCATGATAGCAAGACTTATTAATTATTATTTAAATATGAAAGCAAAGAATAATTGCACCAGAAACTTCAATTTTGTGTTCATATTAAATTCATTAAAGTTATGTATTTTTTGGAACTATTATTTATTTATTTTATTAAGTTTACATGGTGCCTGTCTTGCCAAGGTTACTCTAGGCAGCTTACAGTCATTCAATAAAAATATCATAAAACATTAAAACAATATATAAAGACCATGAATTTAAAATTTAGTTAAAATTCAATTGACTAACCTGGAGAAGAAGAAAGCAAAGTGTGCCTGGGGAGAAGGTAGGACCTAAAGGGGTGTGTGGACCTCATCCCGGGGGAGCAGGATGTTCCAAAGAGTGGGTGCCATGGCAGAAAAGGCTTTTCTCCTGCCAGCCAGAATTCCTTGACTGACTGGAACCTCAGCCTGCCTCTTCTGCCAGCCTGAATGAAATGGTTCCTCAAATAACCTGGACCCATGCCATGAAGGGCTATAAAGGTGATAACCAACAGATTGAATTAGACTTGGAAGAGAACTGGTAGCCAGTGCAGCTCGCAGAACAATGGTGTATTGTGGTCCACCCTTGAGCCCCCCAAAAGTGCCAGTGCAGCTGCATTCTGTACCACTTGAAGCTTCTGGATATTCTTCAAGGATAGCCAGTATAGAGCACATTGAATAATCCAACTGTGAGATGACCAGGGCTTGAGTGGCTGAGCAGAGGGACTCTCAGTCCAGGAAAGGGTGCAACTAGCACACCATATAAAATTGCGCAAAGATTCTCCTAGCCATGACTGCTACTTGCTCATCGATCAGGATTCATGAGTCCAGGAGAACCCCCAAGTTGTGCACTGGGTCCATTTGGGTAGTGCAACACCATCCAGAATTAAAGATGTTAAGGACTTCAAACCTGGAATGCATCCAAAGCCACTCATTCTTACCATGGTTCAGCCAAAATTTGATGTCCCCCATCCAGACCTCCACAGTCTCCAGGCACCATGAGAGGGCAGTGACAACATCACCTCGGAATGGGACAACTCACCACAGCCAATTTACCATGGGCAATTCCATGGCTAACTCACTGTGGGACAACTTGTCATGGACAACTCGCTTTGGGACAACTCACCACAAGATAATTTAACAAATAAAAAAGTTAAATTAATTTCAATGGAACTATGGCTGATAATAATAAAATAAAGTCAATTCAGAAATACAAGAGTTATAATAATTTTGACAAAAATGTGGTCACCAATAATAAAAGTAACCCAATGAAACAATTAATACAGCCTTGAATTGTTTTGCGGCGAGTTGGTTGTGGTGAGCTGACCTAGACCTGCATTACCTGGCTCAATTCCAAACACATTTTGGATTTCCATTTTAAAAATCCTTTAATCAATGTTCTGCATTTTGAAGAATCATCCCTTATTTCATGCATGCCTTAGATTTAGCGTAAGAATACATACCTTATTTATTTTCAGTGTTGGTTTATTTTCAGAATATGTTCTTGGGATAAGTAGATTAGTTTTTTATATGATCTTAACTTATCTAAATATAGCATTACACTTAAAAACATTTTAACTTATTAATAAATAGAACATTTTTACAGTCACTTGTAAGATGACAAAGACTTTTGGGATGTGTGTATGAGGGGTAGAGTGACTTTAATTTTCAGTTAATCTCTGATATAAGATTATTTTTTTAAAAAATAATTATAGCTATTTTTCAGCAGTTTTCATGAGAGAGATGGCACCGAAATTGCTTCTCTAAAGGGTTAATTACTACTTCTTTTTTTAGAGGTCCTGATTGCAGAGACAGAGGATGATTGGTAGAATGTAGTAGACATTTATATACATTTACATGTGTCTTTGCCCACACAAAGTAAATCAAGGCAGTTTGTAGCATTTTGGCAGTACTGAAAATAGCAGTCCATAAGGTTTTTTTAAATTTTTTTGTAAAAGCTTTGTCCTCTCTCCCTGCTTCAACAAAAGAGATGCAGCAATTACTAAATTTGGTGTCCTTGAAGCTAAAGGAGCATGTGCACTTTGGGTGAACCCAGTAAATATTAAAGAGCAAATATAAAAGAGATAATGGCCCAGATGGAGCAGAGTGGCTGTTTCTATTATGGGTGTTGTTTGAATTATCCATTAAATCCATGGAATGACTGACAGGCTGTGAAAGAAAGATGCAAGGTGCTTGTAAACTGGATATGTTCTGCCCTGTCAGTGAGAGAATAGAAGGGAAGGATCCAGTTTTTCTATTTTGGCAAGTGAGTGATACTGAAAAGCCTACCAAGCTGTATCCAGTGTTGTTGCCATATAGTGGAAGGAATGTTGCATGGATGCTGAATTGTGGTGACATGTACTTTATTCCACCATGTGGAGAGAAAATGGAAACCAACTGAAGCTAAAGTCTTGTTTCAGTGTTCTGAGGAAGAGATATAGCTGTGGTAGGGGCCTAGACTTGCACCTGGCAGATGTTAGGGCAGGTTCTCTTTGAGCCATTTCTCATTCTCAATAGCACTGTCCTCTGGGCTGTTTAATTGTACTTGAGCCCTTGGAATCTCCCCTGACAACTTGCTTATTCTTCAGTAAATAAACTGACCCTCAAAGGGAGAGTTGTTCCCTCGTACACTGTTCTCCAAAGCAGTTTCAAAGAGGCCTAGAACATTGTTCACATTTTTCTTTGAACTTGTTGCCTAAAAGCACCTGGTTATTGTAGTGTCTTGGCCTGTTACGATATGTTAATGGACAAAGTAGGAAGTTTTCAGTAAAATACAACTTACCCCAAACTGGGAAATTATGTCCCATCTCCTTGAATGGGGTGTCTATAGTCTGATAATGATTGGGAAGTTTAACCTCTGATTTCACAAAAGTATTTGAGCCTTAGTTTCTCAAAAAGTAAAGCATAATATTTACTTCTAACTAGTCAGAGCCATGTAAATATTTCTCTTTCTGGTGATGGAGTCTGTGTATTGGTTGTGTGATGAATCTGAGAGAACTATGCACCAAGACAATTACACCAAAGCAAAACAAAGGACAACAAAACAAAACAAAGAAAGCAAGATAACAATGGTAGATTTTTTTTCTTAAAAGAAGAGGTGAGCAGTGGAGCAGTCCAGGCTTTTTCTTTGCCAAATAAACAGAAGGACAAGAAGATAAGAGGAACGAGAAGAAGGAGATAAGTGGACTCTAAATTGTTTATGCCGAGCAATTCCCGGGCAAAAATAAACTTTCAGGGTATTTCAAGAGTATTAAAACTAGCAATGTTTACTAATTGTTCCTACATGTGGTTTGAACATCTTTCTATCAGTCTCTCTCTCCATCCATCCATCTATCCATCCATCTTTATTGTTTACAATAAAAGAATCTTTAGTTTAATTTTTAATTTTAAAAATTAAAAAATTAAAAGTACAAAGTAAAAGTACAAACTGAAGGAAAAAAGAAAAATATCTTTTATATTTATCAATAGCCACCGGTTTACTAATCTATTCTGTATTATAATATGAATAGTGCAAGATATTATTGTAAGATATAACGGATCTCCGCCATACTAACACATATTGCTGCATCCTTTGATTAATAGAAAGTATTGCCTTTCTATTAACAAACAGATCACACATTTCAGGCAAACGTTCCTTGACATTTAGAATAATTCCATTTTTTCAATTTATTAATATTTTATGCCATTACCTATGATTGATACAACTACAGTTCCATATCTAATCCAAATATAATTCAACATTACATTAACATATTTAGTATTTAAAGATATTCCCATAAATGTTTAAATATACATTAATACACTATCCCAAACAGTTACTAAATGATCACAAGCCCATATTGTATGGGAATACCAGCAAAAAAAATGATGTCTATCCTTTCACTTTTGTTCATATTTTAATACATGAAAAACCATTCCTTTCCTTGTTGGTAAAGTAGGGAGGTAGAATTATGACAACCAGATTCTAATAGTTAGTGCTTTTTTTGTAAAAAAAAAAAAATAAGGTGTCGGAACTCACACATGTCATACAACCCGTCTTGCCTACCCTACAAGGTTCCATCCCAAAAAGGTGCCGGAACTCCGTTCTGGGTGTTCTATGAGAAAAAAAGCCCTGGTAATAGTACATCGGAAGAGTACCAGTTTTTGAAAAACAAAACTTGAATTAGAACTACTGTAGTTTGAAATCCTTTGAAATTACCACATTACTGTTGGGAAAATGCAGCCAAGAATGATACCAGCTGGCACTTTTCCTAATGATGGGAAAGAGTCACTTTGTGGCTTCCAAATTTTGGCTGGCTAAAAACCGTAGTACGGATCAACTTTCTATTTATAATTTGTAATTTTGGATGTTGTTTATTTTCAATGTTTAAGTATTTATCTATGGTGTGTTCTAGCTTTCTAAAA